TCCCGGGGTGGTGCGCGCCGGTCCTCCCGCACCCCGCGCCCCCGCCCTGCCGTCCCCGGGCGCAGTTGGGCCGCGGTTGAAAGTCCGGCCTCTGGGTAAGGCGGTGAGCTCAGGGAGGGGAGGGGACAGACAGCGAGGCAGGAAGCTGCAGCTTAAAAGGGCCACCCGAGCTGGGCTTTTCCTCCCTCCGTTCCAGTCCCCGGCCCGTGCCGCCTCTCCTCCGCCAGCCGCCATGTACCGCTGCCTAGGCGAAGTGCTGCTGCTGTCCCGGGCCGGACCGGCCGCCGCCGACGCGGCCACGCTGCTGGGCCGGGCCCGCGCTCAGCCCGCCGCCGCCCTGCTGCCCTGGCTTGCGCCCTGCTCCTGGCGCCGCTACAGCGAGGCAGCCGCCGACCGCGAGGACGACCCCAACTTCTTCAAGATGGTGGAGGGCTTCTTCGACCGCGGCGCTAGCATCGTGGAGGACAAGCTGGTGGAGGACCTGAGGACCCGGGAGAGCGAGGAGCAGAAGCGGAACCGGGTGCGCGGCATCCTGCGGATCATCAAGCCCTGCAACCATGTGCTGAGCCTGTCCTTCCCCATCCGGCGCGACGACGGCTCCTGGGAAGTCATCGAGGGCTACCGGGCCCAGCACAGCCAGCACCGCACGCCCTGCAAGGGAGGTGAGCACCGGCGCAGCCCCCGCAGCTTCGACCGCCCGCGGCCCGGCCGCTGGAGCCAGGGTGTCCCCCCGGCCGCCCTCCACGCCCGGGTCATCCCCCAGCCACCTGACAGCCCCACGGCCCCTGTCCCTGGAACTGTCAGCGGGAAGCTGACCCTGGTCCTTCCCCAAGAGGTGATCCCGTTGATGCTGCATGCCGAATAGCCCCAGCATCGCTCTGTTGTCCTAGTTGTATGTGTCACGCAGGGTAGGTCCTGCCAGAATGCACTTCTGAAGAGAAAGTGAGAGGGCCACCGGATTCTGCCTCTGCATGTTTACACACAGGCAGAATGCGAAAGCAACTTTTTATAATTCGCGTAAGCGCCCGTTAGAAAACAGTGATTATGATACGGAAGTGGAGAAAATTTGTTGTCTTTTAGGTTTAAGACCTAGACAGTTTTATTCATCAAAGGAAATTACACATTGCATATTAGGTTTTTTATATTCTTTGCCTAGCTTCACAGCTTATCCTTCTCCTTTTAAAAAAAAATAATATTACGAATTGGTACGCAGCAGAACTCCAGGTTAAACACCGGGCAGCCTGACAATAAATCTAAAGGGTGTAAACTGCAGAACGCGCGGCCAACCAATGGAATGAAATAGCCCTAGGGGTGTGTGCTGCTCCTGGCTAGCACCAGATTTGAGCTTTGGGAAGAGAAGATAAAGTATATTGAGAGATGAGTGGAGTCTTTTAACAACTTAGTACACACTGAGGTTCTGACTGTGGAAATGAGTGAATGTGAAAGAGCCCTCGAAGTGATAAAACACTTGGCTGTTAACCTCAAGATGGGCCTTTGGAACCCCACTGTCCCATTTGTGAGAGAAAGATGAGGCAGTCTGGTGCCTTCACGATTTACAGCTGCTGCTTAAGCCAATATAGATCTTCCCCACCCTTCTCCCAAGGCTGAAGCCCTGTAAGACTGTTTTACTCTGTTCTATAAGGAGTTAGAATCTATTGATAGGTTTGGTTTGGGGGCTTCAGGGTCCCTGAAGTGGGTCTAGTGGTACTCTGTGATTAAGGCATTTGTCCACTAATTAAATGGTCAGCAGTTCAAACTCACTAGTTGCTCCTGTAGGGAGGATAACTTGGTCCATAAATCCATAGAGATTTAAGGCCTTGTGAACACTCTGAAACAGGTTATCCAGGGATGCTGCTGATCAGAATCAACTCAGAACAGTGGGTTTGTTTTTGTGTAGATAAGGAGACCTGGTAGTACCAGGATGTCAGGGTCCAATCCCTCTGTCTTCTGCACAAGAGATAGATGCTGCCAGGAACATTGCTGTCTTAGAAACCATGTGGCAGTTCGACACTGTCCTGTGAAATAGGTGGATGGCAAATTGGTTTTGGTTTAGGTTAAGGCTCCTTGGTGGCAAACTGGTTAGAAAACCCTGTGTGACTGGCAGCTCTGCTGAACTCGGCGGCACTGAATGCAAACAGCAAAGTTATAATTTTTAAATTTTCAGTGTTTGCAGAATGGACTTCTACCCTACACCCAATAAATTACATAGCAACACATATTTAAAGATGTTTAAAGGCAACCTAATATTATAATATTATTATTGTATCTTTTTCTGTTTAAAAATATACATAGAATAAGGACAAAGCTCAAAGACACAGAAGGGAGTGACGATTCTTGCCTGAGGTAGTTGATCAGTTGGCACAAAAGACACTAGACTTCATCTCCTTACATCTTGTCCAGTGTTCTTTCTGTTATACCAGCTGATTACTAATAATTTTTAGAAATCCTTTCTCTACCAGAAGAAGTGGAGCTTGCTTAGTATTCGTTGGAGAACAAAGTTTACCTGAAACAGTTTTATCATTTACTTTCTCATGTTTGTGTTGACTCCTGTCACTTCTTTTCTGTGACTTACCTCTAGAGCCTAATTTTCTTCCAGTTGTCTAGTTTCTTTTCCTAAAACCCAACTTTACCACTTAGACCTCCAATTTCTCTGGCAGCTCAGAAAGTATGTAAAATCATCAACCCTGTACTGTAGTAGATGACAGCCAGCTCCTTCCTTCTTCCTACCGGTCCTTCTAAATATTCAAGTTCAGACTGTTGAGGGAAGCATGAAAGGATATAGGATGTTACGTAGTTGTTAGCTTCTGTGAGTCACCTCTGAGTCATAGTGACCTCGTGCACAACAGAACAGAGTCCTAACACCCTGCCATCCTCCCAGTCTCTGGTACTTACATCCATTGCTGCAGTCACTCTCAGTGGGTCTCTGTTAAGGGTCTTCCTCACTTTTGCAGACCCTCTACTTTTACAAGCATGAAGTTCTTTTCTGGCGACTGACCCTCATGCTCAATGTGAGATGATTCTCATAGTCTTTGCTTCTAAGGAGCGTTCCAGATGTGCTTCCTCTAAGACAGCTTTATATGTTCTTTATATGTCCATGGACTCGACTGCACATAACAACAACATATTAACATTCCCTTCGTGGCCTAGTGGGTAAGGCATTGTGCTGCCAACCCAAAAGTTTGAGTCCAGTACCTGCTCTACAGGAAAAAGATGGCAGTCTCCTCCATGCACTATCATCCTCTGAAAATGTACTAGAGGGTCAGACTAGGAGTGTGTTCAGACTCCAGGGTAATGAGTTAAGAGTTCTTCGACAGCACCACAATTCACAGGCATCAGTTCTTCTTCAATCTTGTTCACTGCCCACCTTCCACAGGCTGTTGAAAATACCATAGCTTCGATGAGGTGCACCGTAGTCTTTAAACTGACATCCTTGCGTAGCACATTAGAAAAAAAATCCTTTGTAGCAGACCTGCCCAGTGTAATACATGGTTTGGGGTTTTTTGGCTGCTACTGCCATGGATGTTTTCTGTGGGCTTAAGTAAAACAATAATTGTTCATAACTTCAATCTTTTCTCTATTTTTCATGATATTAATACGCAACAGGCAACTATAGTCAGTATTTCCTCCCATTTGATTTACGGCCTCTGAAAACTCACTGGAGAGTCAGCTATGATTTGGTTCCAACTCAGCAGTACATTACAATAGATTTTAAAGCTGACATCAAGTTTATTTTACAGTTTTGTTGGCAGTACTTACCAGTCTCTTAAATGTTATACAAATAAACCAATATATTAATTTTCCTAGGAGTTAATTTGGTTTTCTTAAGGTTCTTTATATATGTTTGTTCTTTCTATGTCATTTCTGACGTAGAATTCCTGTCTCTGTGTAGTTATTAAACTCTTCACAGATGCACTAAATCTAGTTTATCATAATTTGTCATTCTTCTTATAGCAACAGCATTTTTAATATCAACATATTGAGCCTAATGACAGATTGCATTGGCCACACCACAGCCCCCGTTACTGGTAGCATTTGCTGGTTCTAATGTAAGATGCACTTTATCCCACTTACCAAAACAAGTGCTAGTGAAAGTGCTCCTAATTCCCAGCATATAAGCATAGAGAAGCTACAAGAAATTGCAAGACAATGTAATATACAGGATAAGGTGCCTCTTTACACTTGATCTTAGCCAAAAGGCCGAGAAGCGATAGGGTGCCTCTTTAAAGTGATAGGTTTATTATTTGAAGGAATTAAAAATATTTTTATGGAGAGACTGAAGCTTGAACATGATTATATAGTTTAAAAAGCCATTGATTGCTTAAAATAGTAAATTGTATGTAATGCTCTAGCATTGTCTGTGGAGAGTTGAACTGCTAAGTCTAGCCTTGAAATCCATTAGGGGGGAAAAAATGGACAATCTCCTCATTGATTCCTCCCCTGATTTACAGCCCCAGAAACTGATTTATCACCATTATCTGATGCAGAGAACTTGAATTATAAAAGAGACTTCGCTTTTGTGGGGATTTCAATACATTTAAACATTAAAAGCTTTTTTAACTTATCAGAGTTGTTAACCTCCCTGGTCTTTTCTGACTTCAGAAATCTAGAATATGCTAGCTGGTGAAGATAAGAAATGTTTGGAGTAATCCCCATGAACTTCTGTTAGCCTTTTCTTCTCCTGCGTCCTCATCTGACGTTGTACAAACCTCTCAGGCTCTTCTTTCTTTTTGTATTTGCATTTCTTCAAGAAATGGGCTTACATGTGAGAGTTCTGGGTTGAAATTCTCAAAGTTGAAGCAAAACAAATAATCTGGTAGTAGACTCTGAAAGGGAAACAGGTGGTTTCAAGGCTGAGAGGTGGTTGATACATATTTTATTCCAGGTCAATATTTAATGCTTTTTTTGTGTTTCTTTCTCTCTTTCTGCATACTATATTTAACCGAGACCATTAGATTTGACGTTACTAAGGATTCACCAAAGAGTGTGCTGTAGGCTTTAAAAATATTTTCCACAAAAATGGCATTTGTCAGAATAGGTAACTGTTTTGAAAGGCTGTGCTCACAGGTTCCTGTGAATTTGAATGCATGGCTTAGACCGTGTTCCTGTTAACTTTCTCCAAAAACAGTCTGCTGTCTACGTTTTTTTTACTAGTTTATTTACAAAATTCTAATACAAATTCTAACAAATTCTTTCAATTTCCCTCATCCCCCTGCTATCTACTTTTTTAGAAGAAAATGTGTTGTTTAAAAAGGAGCAATACAGATAATAGCAGTTCGTTGATTTTTCTCTTCCAGCCTGTCCTCACTCCTATTATCTTGGAATTAAAAGTGTTAATCAATAATCTGATAGATTATTTTTCCTATCATAAACTTTCTGAAATTTTTGTCATTCAAATATAGTTGTTACCTATAAATACAATCCTCAAATGCATAAGACTAAATATTCTCTTTTGTTACAAATATCAGTAAAAGCTGTGTTAACCCATGATTTTGTTTAGATTTGCAGTCAGCACTCATGGTGGTGGTAGCAGTCGAGGAATCAAAAGATTTGTTGCACTGGGATAGTCTGCTGTCAGGGACCTCTGCAAAGTTCTAAAGAAAAAAGATATCAGTTTAAAAATTAAGGTGATCTGAGGGGCGGGTGTTTGCTTATTTTTATTTTT